AAAGTTGGAATTGACTCAATAGCAATGGGTTTCATTTTATACCACACACAAAAATCATTTCCAAATGGATGGTTTAATGCGAAAGCAAAAACAATTAAGCCTTTATAGAGAAAACATTGGTTTGATCATACAGTAGGCACGTATTTCTTTAAAAACACCAACTATAAAAAAAAATGGTTTAATTGAATCGTTGTAAAATTAAGAGCTTCTGTTCACTGAAATATACCACTATGAGAGTACAAAAGCAACACATGAAGATAAGGATATTCTAGATACACAAGGAGCCCTGGTGGCACAATGGTTAAATGCTTGACTACTAAACAAAAGCTCAGAAGTTCAAATCCAACAGCTGCCACACAGTAGAAAATATTTGGCAATCTGCTCCTAAAAAGAAAGATTCTAATCCACTTCTAAGTGGATTCTGACTCACAGTATCCTTAAAATTCAGGCAGGGTGGAAATGCAATTCCCAAGGCTACATTCTTTACAGAAGCAGACCAATACATCTCTTTCCCATGGAGTAGTTGGTAGGTTCGAATCGCTGACCATTCACGTAGCAGTGGAACACTTAACCACTAGGTCACCAGTGCTCCTTCCTGAACATTGTCCATACCTATTGCCAATGAGTCAATTCCAGCTCATCCCCAAACCAAAACCAAACTCACTGTCACCAAGTCAACTCCCACTACAGGACAGAGTAGAACGACGTCCGTGGGTTTCTGAAACTGTTCACTCTTTATGGGGGTAGGAGGTCTCATCTTTTTCCCATAAAGCTGCTGACTTTGAAGTTACCAGTCCAATGGTGCTTACGTGACAGTGCGACCAAGGTTCCTAAAGATTACAACACAGGAAATCCCTGGGGCAGCTCTGTGCTGTCTTACAGTGTTGCTATGAGTCAGTGCAAATACTGAAGCTGTCAAGGATAGCATTTACTTAGATCCACAATCAATGCCCATGGATGCAGCAGTCAAGAAATCAAATGATGTATTACAGTGGACTGTGTACAATGATCTGTTGCAATGACCTCGTTTAAGTACAAAAAAGCAAAAAATGTCATTTTGATGGCTAAGATCAAAATGCATGACCCTAGTCATGGTATTTTCATTCCCCTCCTATGAATGCAAAAGTTAGGCAATGAATAGGGGAAAACAAAGAATTGATGCCTTTAAATTTGTTGGCATAAAATATTGACTATACCATGGAGAGCCAGGTGAATGAACAAATCTGTCTTGAAAGAAGTATAGCCAAAATGCTCCTTAGAAGAGAGGTTGGTGAAACTTGATTTCATATAACTTGTTCATGTCATCTCACTGCCACTGCGTCAATTACAATTCACAATGACCCTATATAGGACTTCCAGCAAAGTAAATCTGTACAGAAATAAATAGCCTCATCTTTCTCCTGAGAAGTGATTGGTATGCTTGAACAATGACCTTGAGGTTAGCAGTTCAATGTTTACACAACAGTGCCACCAGATCCAATCCCCAGATTGGCAGATCATGAAACCCAAACCTACTGCCATTAAGTTGATTCTGACTCAGAGAGCACTGTATAGGGCTTCCAAGACTGCAAATGTTTATAGGAGCAGATAGCCTAATCTTTGTCTAGAGCAGCTGATGGGTTTGAACCACAGACCTTGCATTTAGCAGCTTAATGTTTAGCTCACAGTGCCATCAGGGCTCCTGGTAAAGTTGAGGATCACTAAAAATCTAGAAGGCCCTCAGTGAGATGGAATGACAGAGTGTAACAATAGGCTCAAACACAGAACAATTGTGAGGATGGTGCATTGCTTTATTCTGCTGCACACTGGGTTAGAACTGATGGGACAGAAGTGATCCCACAGCACACAACAAATCCAACAAACTGTTCGCATCCAGCAGGAATAAAGAACTCCAACAAATCAGTAAGAAAACAAGGGAATCCCTTAGAAAAAATAAGCAGGAAATCTGAGCAGCGTTTCACAGAAGTGGATATACAATAAACATGTAAGACCACTAAGAACCAGTATACTCCCCCACCAGAAAGATAAAATGTAAAAGACCGAAATTATAGCAACAGTTGCTAAGGATATGAATATAAATCTATACAACCACTGTGGAGTCATACTTGGTTATATCTACCAATATCGGCCAAAAGTGAACATGTGCATTTCCTACTGTCCACCAAATCCACTCTCAAGAGAAATGTATTCGAAGACACACATATGTGAAAATGCTGATAGCAACATTATCTGAAATAACCTCAAACTCGAAATCACCCAGTGACTATCAAAAGTAGAATGGATTTCATAGCTGTCATATATGCACATGTATTCTACAGAAAAATAAAAATGTTCATATAACAGTATAGATGAATCTCACATATATTAAAAAAGAAGAAAAAGAACACAAAACAGCATATAAATGGAATTGCACAGTAAGTGAACTATACACACAGACAAAAATAATCTAGGTTATTAGAAATCTGAATAGGAGTTATTTTGGGGGGAGCAGGAGAATGGATATAATGTGCTGTTGATTTTTGTTTCATGATCAAGGTGCTGGCTCATGGGTGTTTTCAATGCATGAAAATTCATCAGTCTTCACACTTAGGATTTGTGCATTTTCCTGTATGTATATTATACTGTAATTTTTAAAAAGTGTATATGACAAAAGGTAAATAAATTAAAACACCATATATGGGAATTTTTCTACATGAAAATTTTTTTGTAAAAATATAGAAAATTTTCATGTAGAAAAAATATTCTACATGAATTCTTTATATATTAGCTTCAAGCCTTGTGAAGCTAATATAAAAAGAATTCATGCAACTCAATTCTTTCAAAGCTAGTATCCAATAGGAAAACTGGTCACAATTCAAAGAGGACCTTCGAGCAAATAAGTAAAAATGGCTATAAGCACTAATGCACAAAATGAAAACTAGAACAATGAACTATAATGCTTGCCTACCAAATTAGCAAAGATTACAGGAAACTATTGAGATTGCTGCTCAGGATTTGGTGAAACTCCATCTATTCCTAATGGAAATAGGAATTGGTTTAAACCTTCTGATAAATCTTGAGCCTTAAAAAACTGTTCACATCCTTTGATCAACTGGCTCCAATTATAGAAATTACTTTGAGGAAAACATGGGAGTTTCAGTTAAAGACAGACTTAATAAATTGCTTATAATGGTGAAAATTTGGAAACCCAATAAGAAGGAAATGCTTATATCATAAGCATATATGAGATAATTTATTACAATAGTAATAAGTATATGAATAGCCAAAAACTGAAGATAAATTACAGTGAAAATAAAAGGTACAAAATTCTATATGCTCTGATATATTTTTGTGTTAAGAGATCACACACGAAAAATTGGTATAGAAAGTGTAAAAACATACACTATAATGTTAATGCCATCTTTGGTTGATATAATAATGACTTTACATTTTTAGCGTATTGTCTAAAAATGTTCTTAGGGCATGCAACACTGTTATATTCAGAAACTTAAGAAAATAAGAGAGATAACAAAACAAAACACATCCATCCAGTTTCCTCTACTCTAGAAATTTTAGCAACCTAGATTTCTGTGTCACCTGCAATTTCCACATTCTATCTGCAACCATTTCCTCAATTTTACCTTAGAAATGTCTGATCAAGGCATTCATTATTTCTTCTCTCATTACTACAATTCAATCCTTGTCTTACCCTGGTGAGCCCCTGCCAGCTAGTCTCTCTCATTTTGGCAAAGCTACATCTTGTACTACCTCCACAGTTCACCGACATCAAACCACTTACTACAACGACTTTCCACTCATGGCGACAGTGCAGGGCAAAGTACAATCACTGCGCAGGTTTTAAGACTGTTCATTACTTTGAGAGCTGTTTGCAGCGTCTTTCCGGCACAGTGGCTGATGGGTTCCAATCGCCTACCTTTCGGTTGGAGCACTTTACCACTGTGCCGCCAAGGTTCTACTCCATCCTCCAGGAAAAACCATACCAGGTACTTTCAAGCCTCTCAACCTTAGAAGGCGGTTCTGTTTTCCTTCTTCGTAATGCATTCTCTTCCTCTGATCTTTCCAATCTGATCCACAGTTCACGATGCATCTCCGATACCATTTACTGGGTGCAGTCTCTCAAGCGCCACCAAGACTGGTGGCGCACAGTTTCCAAACCAATCTTCCAATGATAGTTGGAACATCTTTGAACATTTATCTTTCTATACCGTAATTACCTGTCGGTGCTTAGCTATCCCATTGGAAGTCACGGGCGATTTGGCTCCCCACTTCTGAAAAATCCATTTGGATGAATGAACGTACGTGCAAAACATACACACTTGTTTGGTCCAGTGTTTCTTTTCAAGATGGCAGAGACGCCTTAAAATAATCCTACACAAAAGCATTCACAGTGTCCAGTCAGAAGAACTGGCTCCACCTACCTTAATAGCAAAGGACAAAAGACTTGCACCTGCATACTGAGATGTCCCTGCCCTAAGCACCCACAGTCGATCCGACACAAAGATTTCAAACCGTCTCCCAAACCTGGCACCTGCTGCCGTCATCCCGCGGGCCACGCCTCGGCAGAGAATGGTAACAAGATAAACTTCTGGATACTGACCCCAAAAATCGAGGAACAAAACAGGGGAGGGTTGAGTAGTACCACTGGGTAACCAAAATGCACGGTTCGGCCCCGCCCCGGCGAGGCGCAGTGCCCCCAGGGCGCATCCATCCCTGGCGAAGGAGTAGGTGGGGCTCCTGCCCGTGGGCGCTGGCAAAGCGGCCAAGACTCCGAATTCCGTACGGCCTGGAGCAGAGGCCGCTGGTTACACCTGTCGGGCTGCACCTAGCGGTAGGCCCCGCAGATACCGGAGTGGGGGGAGGGTGTCGGTGGCCAAGGCCGAAGGCGGCGTGTCACCGGCTCTCTGGACCGTGGCTAGGTCCCACGCCTTGCTCCCTCTCTTCTCTGCTAGCCCTTGTCCTCAAACAAAGGCATTCCACACCCACCGCCATTTTCCCCTTACCTCAAAAACCACCTCTTCGTCAAAGTCCGGTGTCATCCTTCTCCGCCATGCCACCCGCCTCAGCACGATGGGAAATGAAGGCGGGAGAACAAGCAGCACCCGCGCGTAGGCGCCTGCCCATTCTGTGTCCAGAAAACTACATTTCCCAGCATGCCTGGCAGTTCACGCCCCCTTTCCTTACGCGCTTATTGGAGAAGAGGGTGAGCGTGCAGATGGGGGCGGCTCCAGAGGTGGGAAGAAGAGGTCTAAGCCTTATGATTGGAGAAGGCGGGAGCTTTGGTGCGCCTTTTCCGGCCGCGGCTAGTAGGGGGCGCCTGGAGCACTGATTTTTTTTCGGAGTCAGACCGGGGCACGCGCCGGCGGATCCGCGGTGCGCGCAGCTCGTGGCCGCGCCTGGCCGTCAGCCCGGAGCTCGGCGGGGCGGCGCTCGTGCACGCCCGCCCGCCCCTGGCGGCTCGCGCCCGGGTGCACCGCAGGGTCCCTGGAGCCGGCTGCCTCCTTTGTGCAGGGTCCGCGGGACGGAAAGCGAGCGCCGCGGAGGCTTTTCTCTTCTGTCCGAACACTGAACAATGGACTGAAAGGCGAACATGGATTGAGTGGGGCGAAGCGGCGAAGCGAGTGCGCCGGGGGCGGGGGAATCATGACTTCTGCCGCCGGTAAGTGCGGGCGCTCGCGCTGCTGCGGAAAGTTTGTGGGGAGCCGGTCTGGGGCTCTCGAGCAACTCTGTGTCCTGGGTGGGTGAGAGTGTGCCTGTCCTTTCCAGAGGACCGGGACTAGTGCTGAGGAGACCGGAGTTGCGGCCGGAGCTACGCGCCCCTTCCTGCTTGGAAATGCGTGTCCCTGGGGACCTTCGAGGAAGACCTGTATTGGGGGATGCGGCGCCAGGTGAAGCGAACATGTAGAAGGCATTTGCTCCTCGCCCCTAAAGCTGGGGTGACGTCGCCTTTGCGTGTGAAGACAGTCCAGGTCCCCTGGTTAAAACCGCAGTTATTCTAAGCCCGGCTCAGTGCTCCCGGTGTGTTGCACCAGCTCCCAGTGCTGCCCGGAGCTTTAAACCCGGCGTCGACTGGGAAACCTTTGCCCCCTTTATTCGGGGACGTGAGTGACAGACTTTGCGGGGCCGGCGTGGGTAGTTTGTCCCTCGTTGTGTGAGCAATAGAACCACCACGGGACAACCGATAGCAATTGTTTGCTCATCTTCATCCAGTTTCGTGTAGGTTTCTTCCATTTCTACCTGGCTTGTGTAAACAAAGCCCTATTATCTCTCTGGCCCCTCACGTTCTTTGCCCCTTATCCATATGATAAAGCTAATGTTTACCTTTGTGTGGGTTTTGAACAATTCTTGACGTTTTTTAAGAAACGGTTTTTAGGTCCCCAAATGATTGCTAAAGTCGTATTGAACTCGTTTTATAAGAACATAGGTTAATTTTTAAATAAGATCCTAGTGTGTTAACTCCAATTTGTGTGTGTTTTTTTTTAAAAAACGCTTTTCATGTTGAAGGGAAAAAACTTTCATTAAAAAGAGTTTAAAGCTTCTCAAAATTATTTCTAGATCCAGCAGCATTTAAGTACGTGTCAGATTAAGTTTTCTTTGCTTTTTCTGGCATCTGTTTAAAATTCCTACAACTTGAAACTGTCAAACAGCCCTGCAAACGTCCTGATTTGTGATTGTTATATTTATTTGAGTGTTGCATTGCTGGGTGTCATCAAATTACGATTAACAAGGCAAGAAGTTAGCGAATAGGAATAAAAAAGCAAGGAGTGAGGTATAGCTGTAACAGTTGTGGTGTTTTCCTTTTGATCTTAATACGTGTATGTCAATGGAATAAGCCATTGAAGTTATTTATAAACACCCTTTTTCTTAACAAAGGGAGGCTTTCTACAGATTTAAGGCAAGTTGGCCCATCCTAAATGTATGTGTCTCATCTTAATTCAAGTTTAAAAAAAAATTAATTGCTGAATCCATCAAAGTAATTTAATTTTCAAGTGGTTGGGAATTTAGAATTCTATTCCACTAATGTTAGTTGCCCCTTTTACCAGTGTCAAATGAATTTAAAATATTCATTCCTCATATGTATCAGTTTTCCATTCCAGCTGTAGACTTTCATAAAGAGCAGGTACAGAAGCACTTCCTTTGCCCTTTAAATGTGTAGACATGACTTCTGAGACCCAGTTCTGCAAGTTTGTGGTTCTGCCTTTGGAGTTAAGCTAGAATAATGCAAACTGTATATTTTATCAACTTTACAATTAACAAAGCCCACAGACATTTTTGTGGTGTTTAAAAGAGGAACACTTCCTGTGTTTCGCTGAGTTAGTTGGTTTGGAGCATGGCTCAATTGGAAGCACTAACTGTTTTTTTTGTTCGCCCATCTGTTAAGATGTATTCATGTTCTCTCTCTGCTCTACATGGCAAGCATTGAGGGAACTCCGGTAATTGAAGTTACAAGTGCCCTGAAGAAGACTTTGGTAGTTTGGGGGGTTTTGTCCCCCCCACCCCATATCTACGAAAGTTTGTGACTTTAGTAAAGATTTCAGAATTATTCTAAGCAATCTATGAAAAGAGAGAGAGAATGATAGGTGTGCATTCTGCTTATTTTTTAGCATGTCCAGGTCACTCCTACAGTGACTTGGGGCACGTGAGCCACAGACACCTGTGGGTAGCAGAGGACGCTTCTGTTGGTTATAGTAAAATGGCACTCTTGCTTCAGTTCCTTACCCTATTTTTCCCTGGAGCCCAACAGCTGTGTAAATAAAAAATTGGCTGCTGTGCTCCAAGAAGTTTGCATCCGACTGTTGATGCAGTATTTAGATCCAGAGGTGCCGGATTCATTTCCAAGCATCCTGCATGTATTTCAAGGCTTGGACATTGGAGGAGAGCATAATAGGATGGCTTGTTTTTGGGGGTTTTTTGGCTTGTTATTTTTTGATATGTGTTTATTTCCAAGTCAACTCCCAAAACAAACCAATGGAATAACCAAACGCGTATCCTCTACTAAAATTTAAAGGGTTTATTTAATAATCCCATTGAAGTTGATCCCTACGAAGTTTTCATCATGTTATTCTACATTAAAATGGGTATTGTTTTTGTTTGTTTAAGATTTTGCTTTATTTTTAATTACTGAGATTGAATAAGGGTACGGGGCTGTGGCAGTTCCGAGGATTCTGAGGCCCTGTTTTAATCACTGTGTATGAGACCAACCAAGTCCCGCCCTCCTGGAGCTTGCTTTCTAGAGGTGGAGACCCAGGCGGAGGTAAAGTCAAGAGGTGCCCTGGAGAAAATAGCATAGGGTGAGGTGGCTAGAGTTAGTGGCTGAGTGGTAACATTCTGCCCTCCTGAGAGAGACCCAGTGAATTCCCTGCCAGTGCACCTCCTGCCCAGCCACCATCTGTGTTAGTAGACGCAGGTGTGTTGCTAAATGATGAGCCAGGCTTCCAGACTAAGACAAACTAAGACTAGGAAGAAACCTGCAGATCACAAGGGTCCAGTCCCCAACTGATCATGAGGATAGCACAGGATCAAGGCAGCATTTCATTCCATTGAGTAAGGGGCCACCTAGGAGGCTGCTAACAAAAACACAGTTCACAGTGTGAGAGGATAAATGGGGAGGTCTTCACAAAGTTGGTGGCATATTCCATTGTCTGCTAAGTCCATTTTTACCACCAGCTTTTTGAAGCCCCCTGGTACAAGGGAGGAGCCTGGTTGTGTAGTGGCTACTACTTTTAGGTCAGAAGCTCAAAAACGCCAACTACTCCTCAGGAGAAAGATGGGGCTTTCTGGGTCTGTAAACAGTGCCAGTCTCAGAAACTCACAGGGGCAGTTCTACGCTGCCCTACAGGATCCTGGCCTATTTGAGTCAGCATTGCGTTGAAGGCCGTGAATTTGGTTTTGGGTTTGGTATAAGGGTTAGCCTCTCAAAAGTTGTCCTCTCAGAACCATAGGGGCTGTAAAGATGATCGAACTCCCCCGCCTCAGGTAAGGGAACTGAAGCAGTGAGCTCTGGCATGCAGGCACACACTTGAGCTAGGCTGTCTGCTGTCTGCAATATCCAGTTATTTTACAATGGTAAGCCCAAGTTCACCTTTAATTCAGTGAGTAAGCATCAATGGTTTTAGGTACAAGTGAGGGGAATCCGAAAATAAAAGATTACTCTGATAAGAGGGATCTTGTTCTTCTGTTTCTTTTAATTCCCTAAAAAAATCTCAAAGAGGATGTTCTGAGAATGGCTCTAGAAGGAAAATCAACATGACAATCTGTCCGATTTCATTATCTTTAGCAAACTGGGTTGGAAAAAGGTTGGGAAGAAGTCTAGGGCATTCATACATTTTATTAAGATTTGTCCTGATAACTTGAGTTTGATTTGGTAAACAGCAAGTTTTATTACTAGACCTCGAAGAATTTTATCAGTCTTTTCTTCCTTAAATACACACACACACAAAAAAAAACTTTAATGATTCTTGAGCAGCTAACTGAAATTTTAATGGTTTTGAAAGTACAATAAAGATAAAATCTATCAAAGAAGGACAGCTGAAAAGAGTGACAATGAAGTCAGCTCATTGCCATTGAGTCTATTTCACTCCTAGCGACCTTTTACCGGAGTACCCTGTCAAATGTGGAAGACTTGGAGACCTGGAAAAACCAGCAACCCCAGTGAATTGATGCTCACTGCATTTCATGACCTTCTTTATTTATGAAGGTGTTCTCTCCAGAAACAGAGCAAGGAGGCATGGGCTGTCATGTAATCTTGGTTGCACTAGTAGTATTCGGGTTCAGGAAATTCTTTCTTGGTATATAAAGGGAAGTAGAGCACCCTACTCCCCCCCCCCC